TCTGTCCTGGAAGTTTCAGTTCAGTTTGAACAACCATTAACGTGCACTTTTGTGCGGGGATTTAAGTTGCTGTCTTTTTGCTGATCAATTAGATTTTAGTGCCCCGACTTAGTTCTTGATCGTCATACCTAGCTTGGCAGGTTCCATCTGAAGCATGCATGAAAACTGCGCAATTCTCGCAATGGGTTGACCGCATTAAAGTAACAAGTGCTTTCCATGTGCGGATGACGAGACAAAGTGGTTCTTGGAGCACACTATCCCGTGACGTCCTGGGACAGTCATTTGATGGAAAAATTCCTGTCTGCTAAAGTGAAAAAGATTTTGATAAAGTAAGTGGTTGCTAAATGCATGACCAGAAAATACCCACTCCACATCTCTCCCCCCCCACCCCCGAAAAAAAATAAATAGAATGAGCTGATTTCGGAAAAAACAAACTCACATAATCTTCTTCAGCTGAAGTTCGTTGTTTGAAGCGTGCGGAGGGGATTCGATGAGTGGGATCGACTAATCTGTCGTTCGTTTGGTCTACCGGTGAATCTATTGCACGGTGGAGCTCAGATTTGAGAACTGGAGTGAAAAGGCTGGCTAACTCGCGATTGCCTCGGATCCGGCGCTTTGGCGATAGTTGAGTCGGCTGCTGAACAGGAGAGAGTGGTCTACGGCCTAAATGTCGATCACTCGATGTAATCTCATCTTGTTCCTCATATTCATCCTCTTCGCCTATATCCAATTTGGATACGCCAGTTGGAATACCTTCAGGGTCAAGGTGTGGTCGTTTGTTGTGAAAAAGCCAAGAGGCCGCAGGTTCGTATGGCGTGTTGAATCTGTGTTCACCATCATCCCCGGATTGTTCATTGGGACTGAGCCAACCCCGTTTCCGACTGCTTTCACGTGATAGCAACTCGGAATTTGACGGTTGTCCAGTGGTTTTGCGATCAGACAAGGCTGGCGTAATGGAACGTTGATGTTGCTGCCTTTGCGCTCGCCTCATGGATCTGGAAACAACGGACCGATATCGAATCTTCGCTCCAATCTCCGGAACATGAAAATAGTTATGCTCATTGATTAACAGATCAGGCCAGTTGTACGGTTTTTCAACAACCTGCCAGTTCACAAAGAAGCGAAAATATTACATATCAGTACCGCAACAGTGTACAAAGGCGAACAAAAACAGATGGTGAAAAAAAATCGAACGCATACCTCAATCACTTCCAGAGACTCGGTTGATGCGCTGTCCGTGTTATCAGTATCGTTCAAGCGAGGACTAGCACATGGCTGTTGATGAGCCGACTGTTCCAGAGCCATAAGTAATGAGCTCCGAAGTGACTTGTGTCCATTCGTTTGCTCAACATTTTCTTTCCCCGGCTTCTGGAATAAGCATAGAGGCGAACCATTAAATGCAACAGGCAGAATATATGCTTGTTTATTCAAATACAAGTCGTTTATTGTCGTTCGACACACTATGTGCGGGGTTTTTCGAGTCTCTCTGACAACGGAACACCACTATATATATATATATATATAGCATCCAACCCACTTACAAAACAAGGAATCATAGCACTGATTCTTCATTGCACTGGCTCTGAAAGAGCTGTCTATCCAAGGGTTACCCGATGTTGTAAACAACGTTATTGTGACGAAAATACACTTCCTGGGTACAAGTATATGCAAGAACTGACAAAAGATTACCGGATACGCATGCCTGACGCGCGGCAAGAACCGCGAAACCGG